AAAATTTTATAGAATTTGTATAGAATCGATAGTACAGAAATTATTGCAATGGTTACACAAGATGTGTTCTATATTAAATTACTTTCGTAAACCAAAACGTTCGACGATAGATTCCGTTACATCTGCAAGACAGAATATTTCTAATACATTCTCCATCGGTAAATGAAACAAACTTTCAAATTTATTTAATTCAGCATCTCTACATTACCGACAGTGACAAAAAAAATCCCAACTCACTAACAAACCAACAGCCTGATATCCCAACAAAACGTGTAAAACTGAAACCGCCCAATGTTTCCAACGAAATCGAAACTCGGAAAAGAGCGCTGCCTGAAATCCGATCCAAAAAGCTCGCGGCTCGACAAAAGAAAAGGACCGGGAAACTCGGTTTTTTCGAAAGCCGCAGCAGCGGCCGAGCGGAAAGTTCCGTCGGACCGCACAATGAAACACGAAACGACGGAAACCCGCGGCGAAAGTTTAATTCGATCGAATTCGGGTGTTCGATTGAATTTCAAATTGTCCGGAAAGTCCGTGGCGGCCGGCCGAGACTTGACGAAATTCAATTAACCGTTTCCGCGTGGGTACGACGGCTTTTTTTTGTCCCGGCCGCCTCCCCCGTTCGCGGAAATTCCACGTGGCCGTTATAAAACATGAAAAGAAAGCGGGTTTCCACGGTCATTGGCCGGGCGCCGCGTTGTTGTCCAAATTGACCCCAGCTGAATGGACCGCGTCGCGGACAAAGAAGCAAACGAACAAATTTCCAGCCGGGACCGGGCAGTTTAATTAATCGCGGGACAACAATCGGCCGACGTAACCCGTCCCCACGGAGAGTTTCCTCCGGGAGCGGTGCTGCGGCTCGGGAAACCGCGTCCGCCTCTCTTCCTGCGTCTGACATGCGTGCTTCAAAAGCTCTTTGCATAATCGTCGCTCATTGTCGCGATTCGCCTCGTCGCCTCGTCAATGAAGAAGTTTAATACACCGAGTGTCTTGAACGGCGGAGGGTCGAAGAAATAGAAATGGAGGCGCTCTTAACGGACGCCTCAAACAGAATGGGGTCTGCGGGAAATTATCGCCGAGATTGTTTCTTCGCGAGTAAGAAAGAAATTGATGAAGATCATTATCGTAACTTTGAAATGAGAGTTTTTGATGTAGATAGACGTAGACGTTTTCTTTAATTGGCATTTGAATTGGTTGAAAAATCGTAACGAAAAATGTGAAAACTTGAATCCAAACGTATACATAAATAATTTAATGGAAAGAAGGAATTAAGTTCGTTTCACTTTGATTAGTTACAAAATAAAACAGCTACAAGGCTTAAGAAGCGAAATGTTAATATATTTAGATTTAATATCACTTATTTCTCTTCATTTTTCTTGAAACAATTTTCTGCTAGAAAGAAGCAACGAAAGGAAACGCATTACCCCATTTTTCCTTGATTACTTCATTCCTCATTTCCAACGCACGTCGCTAACTCGATTCAGTCGGAGCCGTGCTCGCGTAACGCAATTCCCGCGACCTTTCGAGCCCTTCAATTCTTCGCGCGAGAGTGCGCCGCCATCGCGATTCCCTCAGCCGTAAATCACGCGAAGTGAATTAACGTTTTCCACAGCACGGGTAGCGCGAGCTTCCGCGAGACACGGGAGGGAAAAGAGTGAAATCTTGGCCAGTCCATTCGCAGAAACACTCCGGTAAATAGGCGGTGACCCCTAGCGATCGTATATCAACCCCCCTTACGATAAGGGGAGGTTCACGCGACACGCGTTAGGTTGCGTTTATACTATCCACACGGTACGTGTCGGTTCAGACAAAGTCATGTTTATATTTACTAGTATTGTAAAAATGAGGCCTGAGCTTCGAGCCTTCAAAGTTGTAGGTCTGCTACTCAAGTCTCAACCTTTATTGTTAGTACTTATCATCTCAACACCTATGTAACCTAAATGCAAAGAATCTATAACGCCATCGATAGATTCTTATATGAAATATCAGTAATCACTTATATTACTAGTAATAACTATAAATAATAACTTATATAAAATATAACTTCAATAAACTTATATTGTTTTATAGTAGTAATTACAAAATTATCAAATTTCCCACATTGCAAATATAGCACTGATATCACATTTAAATTTCACTATTTAAATAAAACATTATTATAGACTAGGGATATTTTACTTATTTTATGGTAACGTATACAAAAATATGTCGATAAGAATTTTTGTAAGCGTAAGAGAAGATCATGATAGTAAAGAGTTAAAACCTCGAACTCTCAGGGCTCAAGCTTTAAACTGTAACAGCTGAAATCTTTCTATATACTCGAAGACTCGGGTTACGTGTCCGAATGGATAGTATAAATGCACCCTTACTCGCGGGCCGCGAGAGGGTGAGAAGAGTAGGGTGCGCCCCCGGCACATTAACATATTCATACTTAATATTCTAGTCGCGACAGTCCACCGGCCACGTCCGCCCCCGGCCGATTTATATTGGCCGAATATACACGATTACGCTCCCTGCACTCTACGGATCGGCCGGAAGTCGCAATTGACTGCGACTTCCACCGAGCAGTTTCCTGTCGATTCGTCGCGGCTCCTCCGCACACTTTCCACAGAATTATCGACACCGCAATTATTGTTCACTGTCTTTCTGAAGAATTTTTTTCCGATAATTGAATATACTTTAAGTTTCTTCTTCCTTTTCTATTGTTTTAATCCGCAAATGGTGCCACCTTAATGGGTATTTGTTTATTAATTTATTTCTATAGAATGGATATCTTATTTTCAGTCAGAATATAATTGTTTCAGGTTTCAGTGTAGAAAGTAAACATAAAATGTTGACAACCGTGAAGGTCTTTGGCCTTAATTACCAGAAAACGTAGTAAATTTGTTTTATCTTTTACTACTTAGTTTTATGAGATATTAGACAATTTTTTATTTATTAAGTGTCCTTTTTTTGAGACTTCTAATTGCGTTCGTACATCTTCAAAAACGAGTAGTCATCTTTTATTGTCAGTTCTATAAGGTAAAATAATTGCTCAACTTCTTAACGTAACAGAAAACTTGTTAGATTTATTAATTGCTTTCATTCTTACATCGGTGAACGAAATTAATGTTTTTAATACCTATCCAAAGTTCTCTAGGTAATTAAATTTTTATGGGAGATAAATTCTCGACTTAATTATCGAATATTTTAATAAGGATTATTTTAATTACCGATCCTTCATTTCAGGGTATGGAACAAGTAATAAAACCGTAGGTTCCCAAAAGTATTGGATTAAAAAGATCAAAGAGACATTTGATCGATGGAGGAGCACTCGTTCCAGGTTCTTCTCCCGATATCTCTGTGTCATTGGCTTAATCAAAATTCCTTTGTCAATCAGATGAAACTTTCACTGGCCGCGCCCGATAAAAGCCAGCTCCTTTAATGATCCCCATTTTAAAGTTACGTTGTTAGCAGCGGGCTTGGATGAAATTACTCTAGCTATCGATCTTACGTGTGGGTGGTAACGCGAGCCTCCAGGGCATCCCTGGACCATGCTAGTTTATCGCAAACACTGACATTGTTATGCGTGTCCGTTATATTCCCCGCAAATTCAATCCCACTGACGTCCGTTAAATGAACGAATTAAGGAATTTATTCAGTTTTGTACGTCATGTTAACCATTATTCTTACTATTAGTATTAATATTATTCATATTATTAGTACAATATTATTATTACTACTAGTACCAATATTATTCATATTATTAATACAATATTACTATTACTATTAGTATAAATATTATTCATATTATTAATACAATATTATTATTACTATTAGTATAAATATTATTCATATTATTAATACAATATTATTATTACTACTAATATTATTAATATTATTGATATAACATTATTATCATTATCAATATTATTAATATTATTATTACTGTCAATATTATTAACAATTGTTCCTAACATCCTTTAGACATAGTTTATAACAGTTAAATCGTAAAGTTAATTCACAGTGTACTCTCAACATTCAATAAAATAAAAATATTGCTCCAAGTACTGTTACATATTCTAGTTTTCAGTTTATTTGCAATGTAATAGAACTCTCGATGCAATGAACACATTTGTTTGCTTCGATTTCTGGCAGTTAATTGGTAAAATTTGTATTGTTATCTCTATTTTATTAATATCTAGGAAATTCATATTATTCTTAACTTTTAATGAACCAAGGTATAGAAAAATGTATTCCGATTCTGCATATCGAGTTTTCATACATGTACGTTGATAGGTTTAAGGTTTTATTGCTTGGAATCAGGATCGCGTTGTTCGTTAAAGATAACAAGTGAAGAATATTTAATCGACCCATGTTTTTAAGCGGTACTGTACATGTACTGCAACTCCATTACACGGATCGTTACAAATTCTCGATGTCGAGGAACGAATATGTCCGAGGGGAAAGAAACTCGCACACTATAAAAATATGGATACAAGTATAATAATCGTTGAATTTTCATATGTCGTACGCTCCTATGCCTGTAATCATGCTAAACGGAGCATGTAAACTGACAGCCAATAAAAAATTGAACCCTCGTCCTGAACGTTCTTTGGTCAATTTCTCGCGACAACATGTTGCTCATACATTTCAATGAGGATCCTCTAACGGGTGTTCGACGAACGTTCATCCTCGCTGTCGAGAAGTTTGAATTCCATTAAACTCGAATCTCACTTTTTCCTTTTTTATTTTTCATTTTTAACGGAAAACATGATATAAATTAATGATCATTACTTTTACTAATATCGTATGTTTCGTTTATTATATTCATTCTTATTTATTACATATGGACCTAAATAACAATGTTATATTTTCAGATATAGTTTTATGTTATTATTATGTTATTTTTACATTAGAAACAAATTAAAAAGTTTCTCGTTTTTTTGAAACGATTGAATAAATAATGTTGGCCAGCGATGGTATGTTTTAATTGGTATTTGATATTAATTTTTTATTTGCAGAACTGACGTGGAAGCAACATCAGGGTCCAAGAGTGGCACGTTGAAATTTATACGAACCCTAACAAATATTACGAGGGACGCTGGTGCGGTGGCTCATATGAGATGCGAAGTGGTCGGCGATCCACCACCAACCAGGATTAAGTGGTTCAAGAACGAAGCACCCCTTGAGGAGAAACGGCCGAAAATCACTATTAAGAAGATCCATGCGCAAGTATGTCATTGAGAAAATTATCTTAACCCTCTGCTCCTCGATTAATCTATATATTTGAAATGATTAAAAAAGAAACATGTACTATTAGCAAATTTTTCATAACACTTAAAGATTCAAAATATCTTAACAAATTAATGACGCAATTAATTCGAAAGTCAATCCGATTATTAAAATGATTAATCCGATTGGCCTTGTAATAAATATAATGCATAACAAATATTAATATTACATAAATATTACGTAACCCTTATTGTAAATATGCGATACAAAGAAAATTTATATTTTCCAAGGAAATATCTTTTATTACTCTTTCGATCTTTTTCTAATTACGAATAACAATTCCCAACATATATTTTAATGCAAAAGTAGAAAAGATATCTAGCAATTGCGTTAAAAAATGTGAAAGTGATTAAGTCGAAGAAATAATTTCTAAAGAAAGCAGAAGTATGGAATTTTTATTAGTTCAATAAGGTATATTCAAAAATGTTCGTAATGGATGTTAGAAAAATAGGACATATTCCAATGCATTTCGATTTTACAGATATTAACACTTTTAGTAATTGCAATATTAACGTTATTTTATTCAATTATTTTAACGTGACATTTCGAATTTCCAGACGCACGAGCACGCCGCGAAGAACACCGCCGGCAGTCGGCTGAAGATCATCAATCTGGACGTTTCCGACGTAGGGTTCTACACTTGCCGCGTCACAAATGGCAAAGATCAAATACAAAGCGAGGGAACGCTCCGCGTCGACTCCTCTAAAAGCCGGCATCGTGAGTAGAGACAATTTTCAATTTTTTCGAACGCCGCTGGAACGACGACAATATTATTTTACGTGTTCAATTTATTTCACTATTTCTCGTTCGTTAATTTACATCACGGAAGAATGAATACTGAACGTGGAATAAAATATTTCTTTTATGTCCATTTCACTTTAGTACAATGAACTTTTATTCTACACATTTATTTCCCCTTAAAATGAGGGATGAAAGATAATTATATTCTATATTCTCCACTGGTATTTTCTATTTATTCCGAATGAGATTTGTCCTTTAAAGAATGTATATTCTAGATTTTCAAATTACAATTGTAGATGATATTTTGTAATTAACATTTTTTAATTAATATACACATATTATACAAGCTTAATTTTGCCAATAATATACGAGAAAATGATTTATTTTCGTTTATAATAATATAAATATTTATTTTTATGTTTTTCAACTACGAAAAGCCGGTAGCAACCACGAGCGAAAGATTCTTACATTTTTATAAAATATTTTCTGTTATTTTTCTTTATAATGTAAAACGTAGTTAATATCGTTATAGCGCATCATACGATCAATTAATTTTGATTTCAAATCCGCTGAAGCTTGCTAATTTGTACACTCGAGCAAGCCACTTGCTCGCTCCTCGGTATCCATGCTCGAATTAAGACGATGAGGGAACGGATCTCGATCTTTGACAAGTATCCGTGATGACGAAGAAAAGCTTTTCCTGATCTCCGTTGGAGACGAACGAAATATAAGAAGCTTCTGGGGGGAGGGGGGGATCGTAAAACTGTCAATTCGACTCATCGAAATTCCCCTTTGACGTCTGCTCGCCGTGAACGTGAAGGGAAATTGATTCCCTCGGGTGGCGAGATTCGACTTAGAAAGAAAAAAGTATACATCGAAATTCTCGTGGCGAGTTCCCCATTCGCAAAGCAATAACCAATGAAACTTTAATGTTAGTGTAAATTTTTGGTTTAATATTAATTACGATAATTAGTATCGTTTCATGCTTACAATAAGAGTAGAGAAAATGAATTAATATTAGTACAATATATAACACTCTTAAATCCAGTTGTATATTATCTTTAGTATAAATGGAGAAAGCTTCTTGTTGTTCGAGAACAATTGTTACAAAGTTTAGGTAAACTGATTAAATTGCAGAGTAATTCCGGCGGAGTTGGTCAGTTCAATTTTCTTTCGCAAACGATCGATACAATTATAATTCGTATCTTTGCATTTGTAATGTTAATTCTTCTTGATCATTTTTTTAAGAAATGAATGAAAGTTTATTTAGCAATGGAACCTGTTGCTCCGATTCTGTTAGCTTTCATTTAAATGCATTCCAATGAAAATATACCTATTTCCTCCTGAATGATCCTAATTGTTTTCAAGTAATTTGAAAGCACCATGGCAATCGACGTACATAAACCAAAAGCTTTTGTTAGGAAAATTTGAATGGTAACAATTTTACATGGATATTTTATAAATCTTATAAATATTTTATGCTAACAGTAGTTAACTTAAACTTCGTATATAACGTTGCACACCAAGAAAAATAATTGCATTAACACTAGATTCACGGAATGAGTTAATTTCACTCATATCGAAGTTTATAAACATTATTAATAAATATTTGTGTCAATTTTAATTGATACAGTTACACAAACATATCCTAATTTTCTACTGTCAAACCTCTAATTCCTGAAATGTAAATAAAGCTATATCATTTTTGCCAAGAACGATAGAACGAAGTGTACAATAAATGCCCCTAAATCTAGTATTAAAGGTTTGTTAAGGGGTTGAATTAAAAATACGCCCATACTTTTTGACTGATCTAACAAAAAGAGAAATCGAATCCACGTGTATTACTGCACATGTTGCGGCTAATTCAGCGTCGTCCATCATCCCCCGCCTCCATTGGGCCACGTCGTCCCTCATAAGTCGGTATTCAGCTAGAAAGTTTTCCCGTGTCTCGAAGCGGAATTTCGGTGCGCTAAACTTTGCCAAAAAGCTCTTGTGCCCGGGAGCGATGAAACAAAACTGACAGCGTTCCTCTGACGAAGTTACC